AGAAATATAACACTTTGTTATTTATTAATTTTTTTAATAGCTATATTTTGTTTGATGTTTAAACTTAATATTTACATTGATGCCGCCATATTGAATTTACTTCAAAAAGTATTTATCTATAGATCTTAATAAAAAATGCTTTTGATGGAGTTACTTGCAGCTTTATAAATTTTATTGATAGAGATTAATAAAAAAACACTTGCGTTTTTAAGTTTAACATTATAAAATTATAATTATGATAATATTTAAAAAATTTATAAAATTTTTAATTAAAATATTATTATTAAAATTTATAAAATTTATAAAAATTTTCATTTTAACCGATGCTATTACTACTTTTTATAGGTAAATTCAAAGAGTTAAGAGCAACCTACTCACTTCATTATTTACATTTTCAGCGTCAGTTTTTCTTTACTAGTGTTCCATTTAGTAAACATTATTATTCTTAACACCATATAAAAATATGGCAAAGCAGTCGGAATTAAATCAAGAAAATTACAATGAGTTTGAATTTGATTATTTGAAAGGTAATAAATTGCTATAACGTCAACTAATTTTAATTAAACAAACAACTTATAGTATTTCTTGAATGAACAACATTTTTAACCTTTAGTTAAAAAACTTTCAAGCGACGTGTTTAATACCATCGCAGTGGAGATGCCAAAGGACTGGATAAAATTTGCTCGTTTCTTAGGCATCAGTAACGAAGAAATAGATAGAGTTTTACATGATTACAAAACAACTCGAGAGCAAGTTTTTGAAATTTTAAGTGGTTGGTGTAAAAATAACCCCAATAAAACATGGAGCGATTTAAAATTGGCATTACAACAATGTAAAAGAAATGATGTCATCATTAATTGCGAAAAAAGTAAGTTTTTGGCATCTTCGTATTTGCTAAATATATATATATAATATATATATATATATATATATATATATATATATATATATATATATATATATATATATATATATATATATATATATATATTTCTATATATATATATATATATATATATATATATATAAATATATATATATATATATATATATATATATATATATATATATATATATATATATATATATATACATATATATATATATATATATATTGTTTGATCCCAACCACGTCCCTTGTAATACCACGCTCAACTTGTTTCTCCGCGCAGTGGACATGTTTTTCAAGGCCACTGCGCAAAGAAGCAAGTTGACAAACAAAAGTTTGTGTTTTGGATTTAAAAAGATGCTATAGAGTTAAGGGTTGAAATATGGTTGTAATCACAAAAGCAGCTTCTTTAATAGTTTTAAAAAAAATGTAACTTTAGTTTAATGCTAAAGAATAAAACTTATTATTATTTTCATGGTAATGCTTTTTACAGAAATGATTCAATTAAAAAGTAAACGCTTTCCCGTAAATTATTTACTGGTCTTTATCTTTAAGTTGTGAAAATATGGCTAAGACGTACAGCCTTTTGCCGTATTTAAGCAAATTTCCTATGAAAGAAGGGTATATATATAAAAAGTTTTGTAAAAGTTTTTTGTACACAAAAAATGGGCCAATCAAAACGTCACAAAGGTACCGTAATTACAAAATTATGAGTTTAAATTATGGGTCTTTTCTACGTCTTAATTTAGGCTAATAATAAAAAGACTAAACAAGTAATTAAAAAAGACGACATATTTTTTCCCACTGGGTAACTTTGCGCTGTAAAGTTATATTTTGTTTTTATTCGAATGCGGAAAGTAAATGACTAAAATTAAATAAACATTGCAATACTTCGAATCCAAAATTTTAAATTTGTATACAATAACTTAGAATGAAACTAATGTGTTTTTACTAACCATATCTTAATTATTTTGTGCATTCTTTGTTTGACACTAAAGAAACAATATACGAAGAAACATTTCACAAACAAATCCAATTAAAAGCGTTTTTAAGAACTAAATAAAAAACATTCATACTAAACATATAAAAACACCACAAATTGTATTTACCTTAGTTTTTCTGTATTTGAAAGATTACTGACTTGAAATAGTTTAACAACATCATCTAAAATAGAAAAAACAATCCCTCGATAAACTGCAAAACTAATGAAATTTCCCCCAAAATATTTTTAATTTGATAAGTAGGCAAAATTAATTTAAGACACACAATCATGACATAATGGAAACAAAATACTTCTAGTTTTACCTTCAAAAGATATATCTTTGTGTTTAATCACTTAAAAGATATATTGTTGAGTTGAGGTTTCTGGAAAGTTATTTGTTTACAAGGGTTATTTTGGCAAAAACAATAAATTTTCTCATAACTTGAATTGCATAAAAGAAATTAAATGGTACATTTCACAAAGTAACAAATCAAAAATTATTTTTATAAATAGCTTTCTTTAGCACTAGTGACTACTTGTGGGACGTTTTTTCTTCCGATCCGAACTACTTATGCTTCACTTAAACACTTGATCATTTGAGCAAGTGGCATCTTCTCACCAAAAACCAAGAAGTTTTTAAATGAAAAGACAGACACATTAAGAGGTGGTCATTTAAAAAATTTTGACACATGAATAAGGTAATGTAAATTGTATTTTATGAACTTTGGATCATAATAATCCACAGCCTTAATAATCTAGTCATCTAAACCAATTTAACAGCATCAATGAATAACCAATGAATTGGTTCTGTAAATTTAGTTTGTATCTTCAATACATTAGGAACCAGTATAAAAGAGAAATTAACTGTATAGCTTTTTATATTTCAAAACTCCATCAGTGATCTTGACTATCTGACAAAATCAGATGGTTTAAACCGAATAAGTTTTTTGAGTTTTTAGAAATACAATTAATTTGAACATCTGACCAATGATAATTAAACATCTGACCAATGATATCTTTGACTCCTTTTTTCAAAAAGCCAATAATCGACGGACAAACCCAAAGCAAACCATATTATATAAACTAGATGATATATTATATAAACTAAATATCTAACTTGCGGGATCTTTTTAGACAAAAAATGAAGTTGCTTTGTTTTGCTTATAAATATAATTTGCTATTTGAAAATATGGCAAATGAATAAAATAAAAATGTTAATTATAAGTTCCCAATAAATTAAAGGTAATTTAAAAAATAATACCGTAAAATCGCCTAAGTTCGGTTAAGCTTTGAACATTTATTTATCGCGCACAAATAAAAAAATTTCAATTTTTTTTTCTGAAACATACTGAAAATTATATTAACAATTGATATTGTAAAAATAAAAAAATAAAATATAAAAACTAGTATTCAATATTTTGTTTAAAATGAAAACATTTACTTTGACCGAACTTTCAATACCATCTTATAAATTCGGCCACTTTAGAAATACTATTAAAGTATCATTAACTTAACGTCACAAATAATGAAAATTAATTTATAAATGTTGTTATAATGTAAAATTATAATATAAATTCAGGTAATACCAGTAACTAAGGAAAGCGTTGCCCCGGGCTCATGAAGGAGCATATAAAAAAAAGTCTTTTTAAACATAAGCATAAGTATTTTTAATTTTTATTGTAATTAGTCAACTATTTTATTATTTTGGCTATTATTACATTTGTTACGGCACTTAATTAATTTAAAAAGGTCTTTTCAATTAACAAAAAACTAGCTTTCATTAATTTATATGTTTATTGGCATTTCTTGCACGTATCGTTGACCATAGTAGAACAGCAAGATCCACACAACCAATCGCCACAGGATCCGCAACAAATTCATAATTGTCGTTGAGCTGTGATTTTATCTCCAAAAAATGTTACAAATTTAACATTTTGTAGAACTCAAGAACCGTCAGTTAATTTTTAAATTATAAGCAAAGTTTTTATTCAAATAAAATATCATGGTGTGTGTTCATTTTTAAAATCTCAAAGTTTACTGTTAAATTTAAAGGTAAAGTTACCGGTAAATTTTACATTTGCAACACTTATTAACATTTTACAACATTACTGCTAATCGTCTCTTTTGTTGTTAATTTTACTAATTTTTAAGAAAAAAGCAATTAATTTTCAAAAGTTGTTAATTTTTTTTTTGTAAATATAATTAATTTGCTGATTCTTAATAATACTAAGCGTAAATTTGATCAATTGTTTTTATGATTGGCTTATTTTAAATTTTATTAGTATGCATTTTTCAAATTGTTGTTTTGCTTAAGAACTATTTCAGCAGGTTGCATATAAACATTGTCTTTTTTTTTTATTGATTCATATTTATGAACTAATTGTAAATATTATTTGAGAAAAAAAAGTTTGTAAAATTTGAGATTTGCATGATTTTTTTATAATTTTTCTTAAATTACCAAAGTATATGGTGACTGAACTTTGGCGGTTTTACGGTATATTATATTATAATAATTAAAAAATAGGGGAGAAGGGGGCACCTTTGAACACTTTTTGTAATAAAACAAAGAAAAAATTTTTTAACAAATTTTTTTGTTTTGAACAGTTAAATTAATCATTAAGGAAAGATAAACTGTAAGTCAAAAATAAAGCCTGTATTCTCGTTATAGTTAGGTGCATGAAAATGTTTAAAACTGCCCCAACCTAGGGCAGCTTTAAATTCACCTACATTCATATTAGATTTCAAATATACACTTATTAGCTTACAGAAAAGAGACTAGGTAAGATCCTACTTTTAATGGTTTGTGCGAAATTAAGACCAGGAGTCTGTGATGTCATTGATCTGAAATAACGGTCTTTAGAATAAAGGTGTGAGTTTAGTAAAGAGAAGAAGAATGGGGTGAGTAAATATTGTATAAATAAAAGCACTTTTAAAAATTAGTTCATTTATATTTTGTCTTAGTACAAGTAACATCTAAAGATGCCTACAAATATAGTTGATTTTGATGATGATAGCAATTCTGCGCAATTACCTGATTTTCAAATGTCTCAAGATCGATGGGATAATGACATATCTTTTACACCAGCTAAAACATATGTTTGTTTCAATATTGACTGTTATACATCTAATAATAGTTCTAAAATTGAAAGATGTTTTCGTAAATATATAACTGGTTCTATACAATTAATAGAAAACGAGTCGAAAGAATCAAACAAGGAGGTGAGAAAGAAAATGCGAAACGTTCTGATTGCAATGGAGAACCATTTACCAGTAATGGGTTACGAGAATCTAATACCAGCATTAGTCAAACACCTTGATTCGGATGTAAGCCAGTACATTTTATATTTACAATTAGGCACAATAAATGGATGCGATGAAGGAGTACACTATCATATTGTGCTATTATTGCCATTCTCTAAAAAAGACAATATTTTCCTTGTTGATCCGAATGCTTTTTTCAGATCTAAGTTTACTGAATTCGGTCAAAGCGCATGCGGAAAATGTAAATTGAGAGAAAGCCTTTCAATTAACGAAGACTGTGTTGACGAAGCTGGTCATAACCTTGGCAGATGTGACGTGTGTCTTAAAGAAGGGCGGTCAGCTCAATCTAAGTAGTCTCCGCGATGATCATTGCAAGATCAAATGCATACACGACCAAGGTTATCTCAACAATAGCACAGAGTGTTTGCTCAAAAAGTTGGTTTATGGGTAGGTAATGTTGTTAAATATATAATCATAGTTTATTCATATATATATTATTATATTTAGGTTGTCCTGATGCAAGTTGGATTGCAATTCATGTTCACAGTGCATTCAATTCGAAGCGTCGCATGAAGCAAATAAAGTTATCAAATCCTTCTCTGACCAAAAGTGTAAAAAATGTAGTTATGAAGAACACATAGCCTTCGTTAACAATAAAATTAACAAAATCAGTGAGTACCAACAACAACGAGGTTCAAAAAAAAAAAATGAAGAATGAAGAAAAAGAAAATACTAT